CAGCTGAGAGCTCTCACACCATGAACTTTATTCAGGAGGCAGAGAGCCCACTGGAGATGAAAGGAGGCTTCTGAAACTTCCAGCTTGCTCTGTGACATGCCTCCAAACGATTGCTCCAACTAGGGGCCTAGCATTGAAACATAAGAGTCTTGTGGGTCATTCTCATTCAAATCACCACAGCTGGCTAAAACAATTTTAAAAGAAAGCCGTGGATAAATCTGCCTCTGTCATCGGCACTTTCCCAATCCCATTAAGGTATTGTGATATTGAACTCTACTGGCATATGAATGGAATACGAGTTTTTGAAAGTGTGCTACCTACTGTAGGCATTTTGCTTTTGTTAATAACACTTTTATGAATGGCTGTAATTTTAGGGAAGAGAGTTGGAAGAAATAAAACGTTCATTCATTTTCTTCATGTAATAAGGAGATATGGACTGTTAAAGTTAGTGTCCCACACATTTCTTTGTTAATTCATACTTTTCTCTTTTAACTTCTGCGAATATCTTCTAGTTTAACTTGTTGGAGAGAGCAGGTATGTTTTTAATTGAGAATAGGCATTGTTTGAGGTGGCATGTAGTGAACTTAAGCCCTCAGTGTCATATATGTGAATAGTAAACATTATCTGTATACCGTGTGGAGGTGAACTCCATTGTAGAGTAAGAGCTCATGACTATGTAATTGCCTTTTTAGATTCTCATAATCCTTTCTGTGTATAGGCAAGACAGATGTGCTTTATTTAACAAAGCTCCGACTGACTGGGCTACCTATTTTAAAACAGTCCTTTAGATAATGGCAGATATCATTGCTTAATTTTATACTGTCTTCCGCTTGTTTATATCTACTATTATTTGCCGATGTCATTCTTTCTGAAAAACTTTTTTTTGAGGATTCATTATGTGCTTGTGATGACACTGAAAATATTGAAAAGACTTGCTTCCTGAAGAAATGATACGACCTACAAGGTCATGGTTAGTGATTTGAGGACACAGTTTAAGGGCCTTAGTTTACAATACTTACATTTGGTTCAAAAAAGATAATCAGCATTGGTAGAGTGTGTGTTTTTAGAACAGCCTTCTAAGTCTTCAGTTTATGAATAAGGTTTGATTTCTTATTCAGTTTGTGATATCTGTTATGTTTAAAATTACTATTTAGGAAATCATCACCATCATATGAATTCATTGTTTCTTAATTTTCTTAGAGATATTGTATTAGTTTGCTTTTCTGTTGCCTTGATAAACACTATGATTAAAAGCAACTTGGGGAGGAAAAGGATTGTTTGTCTTATATGTTGAGGTCAGAATCCACCCTAGAAGGGTGTCAGGGCAGGAAGTGCAGGAGCCGTGGAAGAATGCAGTTATTGGCTTGTCTTCTGACTTATGCTCAGCTAGCTTTCTTTTCTAAGACAAGGCCTCAGCTATGTGGTTCTGACTGTCTTGGGACTCACTGTGTGAACCAGGCTGGCTTGAACTCACAGAGTTTCTCCTGCCGCTGCCTCTCTAGTGCTGGAATTAAAGATGTGTGCCACTATGCTCAGCTTCAGATAGCTTTCTTGTACACTACAGGGCCTCAAGCCTAGGTATGATGCTTTTCACAGTAGGCTAGGACTTTCTATGTCAGTTGACACTCAAAACATTGACGCCACAGACTTGTCCACAGGCCAATCTGAACCAGACAGTATTTCAATTGAGATTCTCTCTTTTCATCTGACTCTACGTTGTGTCAAATTGACAATAAAAATTGACTATGTGCATGGACATGTACATATGTGTAAATTTATTTATCTGTACATGGTTGTTTTATTGCATAGCCATATTGTTTACTGTAATGACATTTAAATCTAAGAAATGACTTATTGGAATAATTTTATAGTCTTATTTTTTATGAAGATTTGAACATTGGCATCATAATTACTTTACAAATCTTTTCTCTTTCAGCATACTGCCCTTTAATAAACAGATGGTCACAGTAAATGCTGTATAAATGAAAGTGTCTTAGATAACAAATTGCAGTATTTGGGAAAGAAAATATAATTAGTTCTCCAAATTCTTTTGGCTCTCTGGTTCAGGGAACAATGTATTAATTAGCTTCCTTACTTGCAAACTACCATTAGTTATTTGGATAATACCTTTTTCTTATTTTGTACTATTGTATTTTTATCATAAACTCCATCTTTTACCCCCTACCACACAAACCTCCCCTAATAAGACCCCCAATTTCATTCATTTGGTTTATATCGTGAGAGAAATGTTTTTATTATTGTGTGTATTTTATCTTCAATCTTTGCTTTCCTTGCCTGACTTGATGGTGTTTTAGTTTTGGGATGTTATACTACGTGTCTTTAGCTAATCAGAACAATTTGGTTCATATTTAAGCTATCCAGACACCTAGGCTCCTTCCAGTAACAGACAGTGCTGTGATGAACATCTTCACAGTTCGTAACGGTCTCATGTTTTAGTCTTGGGGAGTATGTATCTAGGGGCGGAATTGCTGGGCCAGAACATAGTGATTTATGTTGGCATTTTCCCTCACTCATTTATTTATATCTTCTGACAAATTTTTGTATCACTTAACAAACAGTTAGTTATGGCTAGTTAAAATATATTTTATTATAATACACCCATAAAACTTAGCATTTTTCCCCTTTTGTGTGCAGTTTGGTAGCATGACATGTTTATTCTGTTGTAAAACCATCACTGTCACTCATCTCCAGAAGGGTTTCATTTTCCTCCACTGAAACTCAGCAGCTGTTAGTCAACAATCACTTATTGCTAATTTCTCCAATCCTTTTACTTTCTGTCTCTATGAATTTTCTTAGTCTATTTAACTCATACAAATTGAATTGTACAGTATTGCCCTACTGTACAATTTTAACACTTTCAAGGTTTATCCTTCTAACATGAATCAGATTTTCCTTTCTTTAAAATGCTGAATATTATTCCATTAAGTATACATATATCATGTTTTGTTTCTTCAGCCATTGAAATACACTTGCATTCTGCCCACCTGTTGACTGTTGAAACCATGCCATGATTGATACAAGTGTACATAATCTGTTAAAGTCTTTTTTTTTCAGTTCTTTTGAAACTCACGAGAAGTGATTGTTAGATCATATAGTAGTTCTATTTTATTGCTTTAGGGATTACTGTACTATTTTCCGTAGTCATATTATAATTCCCTGTAGCAGTGCTCAAGGAATTCCATTTTTTTCCTTATCTACATTTATGTAGGCTATTTTTAAAAAGCGACCTCTGTAGTAATAATCATGAGAGAAAATCTGTTAAGATCTTATTTACTGTGTTCCTCAGTGTTTTTTTTTTAAGATTTACATCTAAGAAAAATTCAAACCTCACAGCAGATTTTGGTGTGTGTGTGTGTGTATTTATACATATATAAATATAATTATACACATGTGTATATATCACTAGAAATAGAATCCTTCAGAAAACAGGATGATGAACAACTGGAGCTTTGCATGGGTTCCAGTATTTAGGAGATACTTCCGTATCCCAAGAGACTCACTAGCTTTTTTTTTTTTTTTTTTGAGGGAGAATCTCATTCTTTGTAGCTGGGGATCACCTTGAATTTCTGATACTCCTGCCCCTACCTCGCAAGTGCCTGGATTACATGTGTGGGCTGCCATACTTGGTTTTATGTAATGTTGGGCCTTGCACCCAAGTCCTTGTGGATGCTAGGATGGCTCAGAACCAGACTAGCTACATCTCTAGTCCCTGGTTTTGTGTCTTCTGAATTTCTTGACTTACACCAAGGGTGTAAAAAGAGGGAAACGTTTGTCAGGTAAGTGTTTCTGTAATGTCAGTGTTTTACCTAGTTTCCAGTAAGTTAGGATGTCCAAATCTTTTTATCAAGCCTAGTGTGAAGAGTTTTAACTTGGACTCTGTAAGGATCATGTAACTGGCTAATAAGATTTAGATATTTGAATCCTTCCCAAGAAAGCTGAAGTGTTCTTTGGTAATAATCCTGGGTTAAGAATTACACTTCTCCACAACCTGTGGAGAAGAATTTCTGAAGGACAACAGTGTACTGGCAGTAAGGGCTTAGAAGCTGAATAGGTATTAGGAGGGAGCTGTTAACTGAGGGAAAGCAGTGTCATGGCAGATAATACATTTTGGGAGAATGCATACAGTCTATCTAAGAGCAGAAGAATCAGCTTTGGATGTCGGCTGTCTCCATGGAGTCCCAGGCCATTTTGATACAAGCAATAGTTGAACAAGAATCATCCAAAACGACTGGTGTCTTCTTCTGAATTTGACTCTGGTGACTCAGAAAATGTAAGAAGACAGTGATCTAGGAAATCTGTGTCCAGGAAAGGAGAATCTTGTTTCCTCCAACCCTGTTAGTGACTGGTTCTGTGTGGTCCCTGGCAAATTGAAGGCCCTAGATTTAGTGTTAAATGTACTTGGATTATCAGGATTTTTGTTCTTGTTTATTTTCTTGGTTTTGCTTTTGTTTAGTCTTTATTTTGAAAAATAATATTTTAACCATCAAAATTTTGAGAGAAGTAATATAATAAACATCCTGCATTTTTTTAGTTATTAAGCTTTGGTCAGGAGTGAGTGAGTGTGTGTGTGTGCGTGTGTGTGTGCACAGTTTTTGTATGGTAGGTGAGGTTAGTCTGTTTGAAGTACTTTATTTTGAAATACTGTTTAAGAATTAAAGTGTTTTTCTGTTGCAACAGTATTATAATCTAATACTATTTTTATACCTTATGTTTAACTTTTGGCACAGTAATGTATAACATATAGTCCATATTCTTTCTTCCCAAGTTATCCAATTTAATATTAATAATTTAAAATTACTGAAATGAATTTTATACAAAGGTACCATATGATTTTCACTTAACTTGTGAGGGACAAGGATTATTTGAACTTTTACCCTGGAGTGGAGATTGTTTGATCACTTTGAATGTTTAAATAGTAAGAGGTTAAAAATAAAGTTTTTGCCTAAAACCCATAATTTCTGTTTTGGTTAACATGCTAGGTATGTTACCAGTTTTGTAACTGTTAACAATGATGGAATGATGGTCATCGTTGAACCTGCATGAGAGTGGTTCATTGGAATCTCCTCCTTGCTGCGGTAAATATTTAAACACTTTAGTAATAAAGAGTTGGGTTTTTTTTTTATCTGTTTTCAAATTTATAGTTTGAGAACCTTGTTAAAATCATCATAAATATTGTTACTATCAGAAGAACTCTATCTAGAAGACTAACACACAGTAATAATTACTTCATCTTTAAAATATTTGACATGTATAGTGCCTAGTCTTTTCCATATGCAGACCTCATGATAACTTTTATTGATTTTATTAAAAGTCAATCATTCTTTGGAATTCATTACTCATTTTGAAGGCCTCCATTCATCTTTCCCAAAGTTTGTTATCTTTCTCTGATGTGGAAGAGAGACAGAGTCCACGGCTGACACTAATGAAGGAATAGTACGTAAAAGTTCGACAACAGTGGGTGACAGTTCATAATAAGCCCAAAATAAAGAAGAATGATATAAAAATTATAATTGAACCTGAGAAATTGATTTCACATGGTGGTGCAGTGCTGATCTTGTAGCTTCAATACAGTCTTATTAGACAACAGAATCTCAGTAAGCTAAGATGAATGATTTTGATTTTCATAAGGTTGATTTCTCTCTCTCTCTCTCTCTCTCTCTCTCTCTCTCTTTCTCTCTTCATTCATTATTTATGTGTGTCTGTGTATATGGTGCATGTGAGTGCAGATGTCTGTGGTGGTCAGAATTGAATTCCTTTGGAGCTGGAGTTAGAGGCATCTGTGAGTCATCAGATGTGGGTTCTAGGATCTGTATTGGGTACTCTGAAAGAGCAATATGTGTTCTTTCCATCATTCCAGTCTTAATGAGTGGTTAAAAAGAAGAGATAAAAAGTAATATAGAACTGTATCATAACACTGTTCAACTTCTGTAGGATTTATGATTTGGATTTTAAAATATGTGTATTATGGATAGCAATAGATTTATTATGTTACATATTATTATATATTATTTAATATATTTATTTTTAGACATTTTTGTACTTTTTGATAATCAAAGGGATGTTTTTGTTACACATGGTTGTTCCCCCCAAACATTTCTTCCTCATTTGTTTTTCTTTTGAGACAGTAAGTCACTATGTAGCTGCATTTAACCTTAAACTCAAAATCTGCTCTCAGCCTCTGTGTACTGAATTACAGGTGTGCACTATCATGCTTACCAAACTTAACATTTGGAAGACAGCAAGAAAACATCACTCGAAAGGTCCCTGAAAACATAGCTCTTCATTGATTTCTGAATTTTAAAAATCCTACCATTTTGGTTCTATATACTTTATAGAGGTTTTATACATTGAATAATCATGAAGAAGAATTACATTAATAAATGAGATGATTTTATTTGGCCTTTGAATGAAAGACAACTTACTTATCAATTTTAGTGTTTCTTAGCAACACAAATTATCCCTGTCTTGGTATTTTCATATCTTTCTTTAAAGACATATTTGGAAATATTTTATATGACTTGGTGCTTGTCCATCTGTCTGGAAGCTTTTTTCTTTATTACCTAAACATGCTAATTAAACTTCACATTCAAATAATGCATTCTTTCAGTTTAATAACCCATATTTTGACTTGAGGATCATTTGGCTTGTCAGAATCTTAAAAGGATTCTGGAAAATAAATTTCTTCTGTGCATTGTGAAGCTAAAAGTTATTGAAAATGTGCTATATTTTCATAATAAAACAAGTACAAAAATACTGCCATGGGAGTTGGCTAAGTATTTTCTTATTGTCCTTTGCCTCTAGGGACATGGTTTAATCACTTGTGATAAAGAAATAGCTTGGCTATAATTTCAGAAAGTTGACTTGTATTCACTTGAAGTCATAATTTATGAAAATGCTAGGCTTATGGTGAATGCTGTTTCATCCATCCATTCAACACATATTTACTGAGCACTATTGCCACACCAAAAGCTGTGATAGCCACTGTAAAGTTTCATGGTAAGTAAAATTATGGGAACTTTGCTTTGTAGGAAAGAAGCATGGTTGTGAGCAGGAATCTGATTATGATCAGGTAAGAAGGGCTTCTTTGAAGAAGGGAGGCTTTAGATGCTGTCTGGACAGTTCTAGTAGTGTCATGTGCCAAGATTGCATGGCAGGAAGAAGACAAGAATAGTAAGTGACAGCTCAAAGGTTGACACATTCAAGGAAGTTTGTGGTCATTCGTTTTAAGTAATTTATAAGAAAAATAAGCTGTCAGTGCTGAAACTTGCTTAGCATTGCCTCACTCCATCCCCAGGCCAGAGGTGGGAAAAGCAGAACTTTGTTGACTGAGTTTTCTGTTCTTCCTGGTTCTCGCAATTGTTAAGTCCCAAAGAAATTACATAGAGGTCTACATTAGTTATAAACTGATTGGCCCATTAACTCAGGCTTCTTATTAACTCTTATAACTTATATTAGCCCATTATTCTTGTCTATGTTAGCCACGTGGCTCGATACCTTTTTCATCGAGGCAGTCATATCTTGCTTCTTCTGTAGTCAGGTCATAATTGCAGAGGAATGGGCTTCCTACTTCCCAGAATTCTCCTGTTCTCCTTGACCCACCTCTACTTCATGTCTGGTTGTCCTGCCTATACTTCCTGCCTGGCTACTGGCCAATCCGCATTTATTTAAAATATAATTGACAGAATATAGACCATTCTACCACACCAGAACTTTTTATAGACTTGTATGCATTTTTGGATATTGATTTATCTATTGTAAGATAGTAAGAATTGTTTTTGCTTAACTTCAAAATTTAAGGATCCTGTAGAGTTCACTTTTATTTTTCCTATTTGATGCTTTAGTTCTTTAAATAGTAATCTTCTACGATTGCCCAACTGTTTGAGTGGAATTATTCCAGTGTCAGAGGTCTCACTTTCTTCCTTGGAAATGGCTTCAGTTCTAGGTATCCTTAATCTATTAAGATTTCTTTATCAAGTGTAGTTAAATGTTTACTTTCTCTTCACCAATAATTGTAGTTTGTGATGAAACTTAGAAGTTCAGATGTGTTTTCAGATTCCTATCCGTTGATAATTACTGATAAATAGCTACAAGTGTCTTTTCCAAAAAATTCTTTCCCACAATCAGAAAAAAATCAAGTAAAGAAGCTCCATTAGTAGAATGACACAGGCTTCCCCCTCTAGTCTGCAGGTGTTCATTGCTTAGCTTTCATGGCTGTCAGTCCACTGCTTTGTTTGGTTGATGAGTACTTAATGAATATCGTCTTTGCAGTCGGTCTTACAGTACTTGCTAGAATTATAGAAAGGATTCTGATACAGTTGTCCTTTTCAGGACCTTTCTTTCCAGTGGAAGTAAGAAAATAATATAGTACACTATAATGCATATAGTCTTTGTATTTGTAAGTGGATTGAGAGGATAAAATACTGGAAAGATGTGTTTCTTTACAATAAGTAATAGAAACTAGTGTATAAACATATTTTCAAAATATTTCTAGTAACTGAGAAAGCAAGTCAGGTAAGCGAGAGTTCATCAGACATTCAAAAAGTTTCTAAAATAAAAGCTGTCCATTAGCACATAAAATCTGTGTTTACTCATTGGCTGGTGTTTCTATGGAGGAAACTTAGTCAAGCAGACTCTCAAAGAATTTTATTATGCAGAACAACACTATTATAGAGTCCATTATAATAGATGAAACTGGTGATACTTGTACTCATTGTATGTCTGTCTGTCTGTTTCCTATTTATTTATGTAATGTTAGGATTTGAATCCAGAATCCAGTGCCTTGCATAAACTATACAAGTACTCTGAGCTATAATCTCAACACAGTTGTTATTTATTTTTGTTGTTGTTTAAATTATATTTTTATTCATTTTGTGACCATGTGTGTCCATTACAGCCAAGTGGAGGTCCGAGAACAATTTCAGTGAGTCATTTTTCTCTTTCCACCATGTGGGTTCTGGGCATTGAATTCCAGTTGTTAGGCTTGGTGGCAGAAACCTTTACTTGCTGAAAAAGCCCTCTGGACCAATTAAATTACCCCCCCCCCCCACTAAGATAGGGTGTTTCTGCGTAACAAACCTAGCTGTCCTGGCACTGTCTCTGTAGACCATGCTGGCCTCGAACTCGCAAAGATTCACCAGCCTCAGCCTCCCAAGTGCTGGGATTTAAGGCGTGCGCCACCATCACCCAACCTAATTATTAATTCTTAATAATCAATTCAAAATCTTTTAGGGAATGAAATAGCAAAAGAGACAAATGTTTAATCAGTTTGAGTGTAAACAACCTTTTCTATTGCATTTAGGTAGACAATTAGATTCAGACATTATCTTCCTTCCTGAGTCCAGTTTGAAATATATACTGTGGAATATATTCCACACGAGGAAGATTAGAGTGTGTAGAGTTACGTTCCAGCCTGCTGTTATTTGTAGAGCCTTATTAAGGAAAGGTGGATGGTTAGTATGAATGTGTTACATAGTGAATTTTGAAATGCACATTATGTTCATTAGTCCACCTTTATGAGAGGGTCAGCATATATGTTCACACATAATAATACAGATTTCTCAAAGAAGTTTTCCAACCAAGCAAGTAGGTGCTGTTTGCAGTATAGACTAGATAAAGTGGAAGCAATTGCTTTTTTGTTTCCTGTAATCATTGCAGCTGCTCTTTTACTTTGTATCTGCTCACATCTATATGCTATATATATCCCTGGTTTTCTTTTTTCTTATATTCTAGAATGGATGTATAGCAAAAAGTTAGAATGTACATTTTTATTCATTCTGGATGTCACCTTGTGTTTCAATATCATACTTAACTGTGTTCATTTCTTTTATATATGATTTGTTTGTTTAGTCTCTAGTAAAGCCTGGCAATCACAATAAAATCTGATTAATTTTATAAAATATATTATCAAAAATTTTCATTGGAACTGAACGGCTATAGGACTGAGTAGGACATAAACTTCCATCAACATCTGTGATGAGATTTAAAATTTTTTCTTTCTTTTTTTTTCTCTTAAATTTTGTTTTATTGGGGGCTACAGGGACAGAGGGACATGAAAATGAATGGGATCAAGATCCATGATGTAAAAGACACATAGAATTAAAAAAAAATGTAAAGCTTTGACACATAGGAAACATAATGGTTTTTCCTAGGTGCCACATGCTTTGAAACCACTTTTACTTGAGAACACTTACTTTCTAAGGGTGTTTTAATGAAATAACTTTACTGGGATGGCTTAAATAATACTATTCCTTCAATTTTGGTGGTTTGAAGTTCATGATCAAAAAAGTGCCACCAGGCTCGTTTTCTTCTGAGGCCTCTTTCTGGGTTTGTAGGTGGTCACTTATTCCTCAGTTAAGTTAATTATGACAGCACCTTCCTATATGTGTGTCCATAACTCTCTTCTTAAAAGTATACCAGTCATATTGAATTTTAGCAGACTTCTGTGAAAGTCAAGTCCAGTAACATTCTGTGGTATTTGTGGTTAGGACTTCCACATAAGAATTTGGAGTGTGAACATAATTCAGCTCATCACATTACTGCTTAAAATTGGGTGCATTTTTAGAGTTTATTTATTTAACCTTTGATACAGAGCCTCAGCTAACCCTGGCTGGCCTTGAACTCCCTATGTGAGCTGAGTGTGATTTCAGCTCCTAATTCTCCTGCCAGGATTATAGGCTCATACCACTACTCCAGCTAGAGTTCATTACTCTTAAGTACTGGACACTATGATCAATCTGCGACTAAAAGTAGGCTTTTAGTTTTTCCATTATAATAGTGCTGCTCTGAATAAGCTTCTATAAATATTTTGTACACCTTGTAGGCTTTTATAGTTCTCATGATCTGTAATTAGATGAATTCCCGGGTTATACTGAAAAGAATAGCTATTTTAGCATGTATTGCCAAATTGTTCAGCAAAAATTATTCTCTCCTAGAAATTTTCATAATAGAATTCTTGTTCCACCATTATACAGGCAGTATAATTGATGTTTATCTTAAAAAGTTGTTTAATCTGCATTGTTTTCTCATTGTTGACATTGAACATCTTTTAATGTATTTATTGGTTGGTCATCTAATGTTTTCTTCTCTGAATTGTAAGGTTCTCTACTTTATTTACTTGTTCATATCTTTTTCTTATTTTTATATATGGATTATATGGTATCTGCTCTCATTATTATACATAGTTTAAATACATTTTCTACTTTGTTTACTGTTTTTTTTACATCTTGTTTATGTAGTATTTTGGGCAGAGATTTTAAGTTTCGGTGTCAAATTCAGTAGTTTCTTTTTTATGGTTCCTTTTTCTATTATTTAATTTTAGTATTGTTTATATTTTTCATTTTATATATGTGTTTGTAATGAGTGGAGGTCAGAGGACAACTTGTGGGAGTTGGTTCTCTCTTTCTACTGTGTCAATTTAGAGACTGAACTCATGGTTGACAGCTAATGTCTTTACTTAGCCTTTACACTAGTCCTTATTACTTATTTTTCAGATGTGTTTTGTAGCTCTTAAATGTTCTGATTTTAATTGAATTAAAGCAAATGCAGACGTGACTATCCGTTCCCTACCCATGGAAGGCTTCAGTGTATAAACTGTTGTCTTTGCTAGGCTATAATGGCAAATTGTTGTATTTTTGCTTTATGAGACTGAATTGTCTATGTACTCATAGTTTGGGAACACATTTAAAGCCTGCAAGCTACAATTTTCATGTTTGGGCAGGGTTCTGTTATAAAGATACTAAATAACCCTCTTTGTTAGTAAATAAAGGAGAATAATTACTCTATCATTGGGTATGTGCTATCTTAGATTGTGTGTTAGAGAGTTTCTATTGCTGTGAAGAGACACCATGACCACAACAACTTTTTTTTTTTAAATAAAGGAAAACATTTAATTGGGGTGGCTCACAGTTTCAGAGGTTCAGTCCATTATAATCATGGCTGGGAGTATGGCAGCATACAGGCAGACAATACTGGAGAAGGAGCTGAGAACCCTATATCTTGTAGGCAACAGGAATTAGACTAAGACACTAGAAGATAACCTGAGCATAGAAAACCACACAGCTGGCCCTCACA